CTTCCATCTGAGGCACAAACAGCCAGCAGAAACTCTCCGTGGCTTCATGGGTTCAGCTGACACTGCAGAACTGTCTGCAAAGCACTACAGTGAGGGAAAATAGAAGTTTCCTTCACAGAAGGTGAAGGTTATTGGGATGATTTGCAGAAAGGAGCTAATCCCATTTAATAACTCTAATGCTGGATCTATGTGAACACAGAGGAGAGCTTGAATGATGAAATGGTGATGTTGCTTTAGACGAACAGGAGGGATTTTCTTTCTTTGAAAGAACAAGGTTAAAAAATGGAGAAAAACTGCTTTACTTTCCCCAGTCCATTAAAGAATGAAAAACTAAAGGAGATTTATCCTATAAATACTTAAGACTTGTATCATTAAGAGCTGGCATGTCCTTTTGGAAAAGAAAAACACCCTTAGAAGGGGATTTTTTTTCTTCAACTTCCATTCCCCCTGCAATGCTGGTACGAGAAGGGCAGACATAGGAATTCTGACATTAGGACGTTTACATCACAATAAGTCACGCTGTCTAATATTGGAAATGCCATGCTACTGCTAGCTCTGCACCTACATGATATGGCGATATGGAAGCTATACTCCTTTAGTACACTGGAACAATTAAAATAGTGCAGCTTTTGATAATAGTGATCCACTTCATAAAGACTAAATCTAGATAAACCAACCACTTCATCTCCATTAAGTTTTCTCCATTTCTAATGTATCTTGTATTAACAAACATTGTTGATGTGTGGGTATTTCAAGATGCTCAGAGACTGAGAAAGAGCTTTGTGTAACTTCAGGGAAAAGGTTAAAGAGTTTGGTAATTCAAAACAACTCAGGCAGAAAAGAGCATGGGAAGACTCCTTCCCACTGAGCTGTATTGCAAAAGAAGACTACAGCAAGGAATGTGCAATGAAAATGTGAAAAAGAACCACAAAGAAGACGTAAGGTGAAGGGCGTGGGGTACACACCATGAAAGGGATCCCACCGAAGTGCAAGGTGAAGCTAACCACACTCACAACAACAGCGAGGACCAGTACAAGAAAGAGCAAGTCCTTTTATGCAACTGAAAGAGAAATGAGGTCACTGAGTTCAATGAGTTTATCTTACTCCACCACTAGATGTTTGCACTCATGCACTGTTTTCACTTTTATTTACATAAGAAAGGTCTACAGTAAGTTACTCTTGGCAACATGCTCACACCACAAATCTTGCCTGAACATGTGGGAGAAAAAAATTTTCAAAGCCTTCAAGTCATCAAATTCTTACGAAATCCACTCCTTTTCTCTTGAAGGAAATTACATTGGCTCAGACCTAACATGTATTATTCAGTTAATCCACCCATGGAAATAACCATGGTTTAGATGATATCCTTTCATAGTAGGATCTTTAAGAAGAGAGAAGATGACTTAGGGAAGAGTAGGAGAATGGCCAGAGAGAAGAGAGTTTGTTCTCTGAGAAAAAGAGAGACTTAGAATCAGGATATTGTTTTTATGTAAGTTAATAGTAACATAGTTCTCCAGAGAGAACTTTTGTGATTTTTTCCCTCAGTGGGAAACAAGTCAAAACTATGTACCAAAATAAAATGTAACACTCAGCCTGAAGGCCATTCAGAGTATTTTCTTTTCTAGTCTGTTATTTCTACTGTTTTGTAGCAGGAGTTTTGAAATGAGCAATCATTCTGAACTGAAAAAAAACCAGAACCTTTTCCTACAGTTAATATCCACTACAGAATATTTTTGTAGTTCTGAATTTTTTCTCCCCTCAACTAATTTTTAAGCTAGAAACCTGCGGCAATCTTTCCCACAAGAAGTTGTGACTTCCTTACATATTCAGCAAAAAGCAGTTACTGAAAGAGAGCTCCCAAACCAGCTCCAATATGAAATGAAGCCTACAGCATTGGTGTAAGCTCTGTCTCCGTAAGTAATAAAGCAGGAACCCAAACTTTTCATTCTCACAGGCAGTAGGGCTGCTGTACTGTTTCCATCTATGATGGATAAAGTCAAGGTGGAGAGAGACTGGTGTTCGTGTATGTGCTAAGACTTGAATAGAGCATGCCATATTTTAGCTCTTCCTAATAAGGCTTAATTGCAGGAAATTAATAGGAAACTTTAAAAATATACACTCATTCTTCTGTTGGGTGTTGTCTTCTATTGTTCTCCACGGATCCCCTTTGGCATAGACTTTTATGAGCTATCGTGGAGCAAGGATTCTCCTGCAGCTGCAGGACTGGATTCTCCCTCAGCAATGGGGTTCTAACAAAAGCAAATATTTGCACACTGTACCACTCATTGTTTCTGTATTTTTCATTAAAACAGTCATTGGACAACATACAGAATTATTTACGGTTCAAACATTAGGAGCAGGGTGGAAGACATGAATTTGGATGCTGTCAGACAGCAGGGAAGTATACATCAGCCTCCTGTATCATCAATAAGTGTTTGAAGAAGATGACTATTGTGTGCAATCAGGGTATCAGGCTTTTTAAAACACAGCTTGAAAAAGAAAGGTTATAAATTTTGCCTTCAGGAAATGGTTTTGATCTTTGGACTCCAAACTGGTGGAGGTGATTCTCAGCAGCTCTGAGAAAAGGTTCAGCAGTTTTGGCTGCCTGGGACTGAATGTGCTGACCCTAAACAGCTCTTTAGTCACAGCACTGTGTGATTTTCTTTCTGGAGATCCTCCCCAGACACTGTTCAGTGAGCTGCAGACTCCAACCAAGCTTTCCAAACTCCTTTCCAAAGCCAGACACTTTAAAAGCACACTGTCCAGGGCCTTGGACTCTCCAAACCCATGCTTTCCTTGGGTCTAATTCTAATGACTTTCATCTGCAGCTCACAGGAGGGCACAGCAGAAACATAAATCACTGCAAAACACCTGTAGGTATTTTCAAACACCTTTCTGAATCTTACTCTGCAGGCTTGTTGCTATCCCCAGCTGACACTGGCACAACAGCGTATCACTTGGAAATCTTTGTAGCTGAGGTGTATTTAAATTTGTGAAAGCTCATGGGTACCAGAGATGCTGATCATTCTTCAAGAAGCAAGGAGCTTCAAGCAGGAGCCAGCCACAGGGTCTCAAGGAGTCTTGGGCTCTTATTGCCAGCAGCAGTGGCTAGGCCAGTCCTTACCAACATGAATGCCCTCAGGAATCCTCACAGTTTTGAGCCCTTGCGGCACTGAACATCCACAGATGCCCATCCACCAAGGCCCCACGTGTTTGGATCATGGCCCTTGTACCCGCTGCAGCCAAGCCTCAGCAACACACCATGGCAGGACTCTCCCGCACAGTTCACAGAATCACAGAATCGCTCGGTTGGAAAAGCCCTCCGAGATCATCACGTCCAACCGCTCCTGTCTACCCACTAAACCATATCCTTAAGTACCTCATCTACCTGCTTCTTAAATACATCCAG